GTGATCATGCGTATTCTGTCCACTTTGGGATGGTGTCCTCTTAAAGTCATCTCTAGTAAAATCTCCAGTTTTCCTTTCAATTGATTCTAGTCCACACAGGGTGCCAGTGCTATCATACAGCACAATACAACATTATACCCCAGAGTAGCACTGTAAATCCGTAAAATGCAGTAACTAGACAACGCTTCACAACAATATGTACTCCTAGATAGCACTATGCTTCTCTCTACTGAATTTTAAATCACCATACAGCGCTGTATAAACAATTGCTCCAATTTGGCGCTTAAATAAGTGCGGATATTTGTCCGCGGTCATTTTCTCGAATTTTCTGTTCCAAGATGCGGAAGCTGTGAGCTTCGAGGAACAGATAATATCCAAGGAGAAATATCCGTACATATTTTCGCGCAAATAGACGCTATTGCGTTTTTTAGCCTTAAAATATTTTGCAACGCACGTGAAAAATGTTAATGAACAGCTTAATGAATTAAATACTCGATGACAACCTCTGCGTCGTTTAAAGAAAACATAGCATTTTCCAGCGCAGTCATGACTCGTCTGACGTGAAGATACAGAGATCGAGTTTTGATTACGGCTTCAAGTTTCAAACTCGTAAAGGCGGGAACTATGTCTTGAATTCTTGGGTTGAACTCAAAAAGTCTAAAAAAAAATCAGTCATGATCATCGTTATCAATTCTGAATGATTGAAATTCGATTCACGTTTACTTTAGATAATAAATTTTACTCCCATTTTGCCAGTTATACAAAGAAATCAAGACGCTGTGCAATACCCACAACAAGACACAGCTACAGTGTTGTGAATCTCCATCCTCATCTTTAATAGAACTGTGCTATCACGAAGGTAGTGCGCGTGCGTTTGCATTTTAAAGTCACTTTTGCACAAAATAATGAGCCGATTGGCAGGAAAACAGGCGAAACACGCAACAGCGCTGGTGCTTTTGCGTTTGCGTTTTGGCGTTTGCTCTCTAAAAAGCCGGAGAAAACGTTTTCACTGTCTATTAAATTATTGATCGTTTTCATTTCTCGGGTTCTTCTTTAAAACCGGAACTCGGTTCTTAGCGACTTCTTCAAGTACTGCACTAGTTAAGATGTATCTTAAATCTTTATACAATAGGAAATAGACAAACAACAGGTGGCACCTTTTAAAGGGCATTAAACACGTTAGGATAAGTCTGAAAATTCTTTTGGCAACAATAGTCATCAACAATTTATAAACATCGATAGCAGTTGCGAAAGTTTACGCGTTATATTTCAGTGTTTTGCATTTGGAAAATTCATTTCTATTTATACGATGACTAACCCTCTTTCTCACAAATGTGAAAATAATTCTGAACCTGGTTAGCTCAGAGATGATTGAGACAGTAAAAATAATGTCAGCAAATATAAACAGCGACTGATCCTTTTTGAAAACTTGTAAATAATTGTTCTCAGTTCCTCAGGATCGGATGTGCTATTTTTTTCCTTCTCATTTTTCAAATGGTATATATGAATGTTTGAATGTTATATCTGGGGACGAACTTTTCCTGCAAAAAATTTGGGCTCCAAAGACACAATGGTCACCTACTGACATGAAAAATAAAAAGAAAAAAACACACTTGAAATATAGATCCATTTTAGGTGAACGTCGCTGAACGTTATAGAAAACAAACAAATTGAGTTTGAAAGGTGCACGCATTTCGGCTGGTGAACATAGTTGCATTCACTGCTCTAGTTCAGTGGAACAATTTATACAACAATAAAGGAGTAAGTTTCTAAAGAAACTGTGGTGCTGCGTCGGTGGGAGAGTATAGCAGGTAATTTAGTGTTAACAACTGAGTTGAAAACGTATGGCACCTATCGTCAAAACTTTTCCGTCTTACATTAAGGACAGCCAACACGCACTTGAAATTTTTCGTGACTTTAGTTTCCTCGGCCAAAACAAAGTTATTTTGACTATGGATATAACATCTCTTTATACTGTCATTCGCAATGGTCTCCAGGCCCTCAAACATTTTTTCGATCATCGCACTGTTAAGGAACCTAGCTCTGAAACACTACTCCGTCTGGTCGAACTAGCGCTCACACTCAATTGCTTTTCATTCGGTGGTAGCTACTATAAACAAACTAATGGCGTGGCCATGGGTACTAAAATGGGACCCAGCTACGCCAATCTTTTTGTAGGTTTTATCGAACATCAATTTTTTAGTCAATACCACGGCCCAAAACCTGAACTCTACAGCCGTTACATTGACGATTGCATCGGCGCTACCTCCTCTACCAAAGAGGAGCTCACCCAATTTATAACCGCCATCAATTCCTTTCATCCAGCTCTTAAATATACTTGGGAAATTTGCGACACTTCTTTGGCTTTTCTAGACATCAAAATTTCAATTGAAGGTAACGGTTTATGCACTAGTGTTTACTACAAACCTACAGATTAACACAGTTACTTGTTGTATTCATCTTCACATCCATCACACGTCAAGAACTCCATACCTTTATCACAGTTTCTCAGATTTCGTCGTTTGTGTAGTAACGACTCTGATTTTTCCGAAGGGCCAGAGGCAATGTGCTAGTTTTTCGATAAACGTGGCTATCCTGTCTCTGTCGTTCAAGCGGGCCACCACCGTGCCCAACAAATTGATCGACAGTCAGCACTACAAACGGCTGAGAACGATAACACTGACCGCATTCTATTTACTCTTACATTTCACCCTCGCAACCACGCAGTTAAATCTATCATTCTTAAAAATTTTAAATTACTCCAAAACGATTCAGAGACTGGCACTATCTTTTCGCAACCCCCACTTATTTCATTCAAACGTGACAAAAACATAGGCAACTTTCTAGTCAAGAGTTCATTTTAAACCAATGATCAATCTGGAACTTTCAAATGCGCTCGCTCACGATGCAAAACTTGTTCTTTCGTTCATAACGTAGAGAAAATATCGGGACCCAAGAGATCCGTTAAGATCACTGATCACTATACGTGTACCTCCGCCAGTGTTATTTTACTGCAAAACTTGCACTTATTGCAATAAGTTATACATCGGCGAAACAGGAAGACGACACTAGGTGACCGATTCCGAGAACACCTTCGCGACGTGGAAAGAAATGACAAGGACGCATCCAAACCAGTCAGTAGACACTTTAATCTTCCCAATCATTATATACAGCATGTGGCAGTTTGCGACCTTTCCTTACATCTAGGCAGTTCGGAAAGCCATAAAACATTAGAACAAAAATTTATCTTCCAAATCGGGATCCCCACGGAATCAACGAGCGTTTTTCATTCAACTAATTTATTCCTGTTTTCTCGTCACCATATTCCCACCAATGGCGTGGCTCCACTTGCTGCATATAAACCCACACACAACCCTCAATTCCTCCAATCGCTCTTATTCTTAGTGTTTGCTCTTGAATGTCACAGGTAAAGCCTAAGGTCTATTGCTAAACAAAAGTGTGAGATAGAACTACAATTTTGTTTAAATGATAAGGTTTTATGAAAGCATAAATTAGTCTCTCTATTATGAGAATATCTAAACAGCTTTGAGCAGCGACTACATTAAGCTTCCTACTTCTTCCTATTCGTAATGGTAATAGGACTGAGTGGAGTCCAATTCGCTCTGTAATCATACGAGTGACTAACAAATTTGTTTATCGCTCATATGATTACTGACAGAATTGGACGACAAGAAGTCCTGTTACCAATTAATCATAACCGTTTCAATTTCCGAAAATAACAAATACATTTAGGAGTAATATCTCCGGTAGAGACAATGTCTAAAGTAAAAAAATTTCTCCATTATGAAAATTCCCAATTTTTTTTTAGGATAAGTGGCTGTCGCTATGGTTATTGTTTTTAATTCTGTGATTGGTGGATTTGGATGAATGGACTTAGTGTGATTGACTACTTCAACTGTCCGATTACAGGTGTCCGACTACAGCCAACTGTCCGATTACAGCTCTACAGAATGATTAGCAAAAAATAAAGCAGTTAATGCACCAATCACATTTGAGGAAATTATAATGGTTATGATGAAATGACATATCCGACGGGATGCGTTATCTAATAGCATCGTCACGCTACATACTCGCTTGAAACAATTAAAAAAGAGTATAATGGAAGATCTAACCCCGTGGACAGCAAAGCGCTTGTCTGATTGTCTGCTTAACTGCTCTTCTTACTTCACTAATCTTCCAGCAGTAAAGAAACGGATTTAAAGTCGAGTTAAAATAAACCAGAGTATTCGCTATTCCAAGAGCGACGACTAAATGCGATGAATTTCCTTTTCTATGAGCCATCACAATTCCCACTAAACTCACAGGCACATAACAAGCAAGTAACACTAACTGCACCCACAGTGCACTGTACACTGCCTTTTTGTATCGCGCCATGTTCAGTGCATTTGGTTGGCTCGGCTGTTGTTGAACATGATGTTGTACTTGAGCTTGACGATGACTAAGAACGCGGAAAATCTTTGCATATGAAGCAATCGAGACTAATAGGCAACATGGGATGACAATTCGACCGAACCAGGGAGCTATATGAGAGCCTAACGCCTCGCATAGAGTAGCGACAACGGTTACAATCCAAAGAGCAACGACAATGATATATGTGCGCTTCAAAGTTACAATTTGTCTATATCTCAGCCCCAACAACAGGGCGAGAAGTCTGTCCACGCTCATGGCTGCCAGTGTCAACAAAGATACAAAAGATAATCCATACCCTGAAATGGAGGCTGCTACCCATGCGAATCGACAAAGTCTCCACTGTTCGAAAACAACCGACATCCAAAGAGTAGCAGTGAGAGGCTGGCCTATAAGACCAACCAACAGATCACTCGTTGCCAGACAACGGTACAGGAGTTTGGACGGCGGATGGAGGGAAGCCACCTTGTGAAGTGCAACGACGATCAGGGCATTCCCAAGAAATGCTGTAAGGGAAAAGAAAATGATGACTGCTGACAGACGCAAGGAGTATTGTCGCAATTCGCCCTCCGAAGAAGAGGAACATACAAGTTCTTCAAATGTTTTCATCTGCGTTCCATCTTCCGTTGAGTTTGTTGCCGCCATCATTCTGCAAACGATGTACGTTTTCCCTTACGGTTACTTGTAATTGTAACGATCGAGAGATTTTTGTTCTTAAAAGCACCTGTCTAGCTGAAATACTTCAAAATGCAAAAATACACCGTGTGGGGTGTCAAAAAAGGTAAATTTGTTCCACGAATTTTCCATATGCCTCAGGTATCAATAAGAATTGAGAGGCAAGCTTGAAGACATCCGTTACCATCATCTTTGAATAGTATGATAAAGAAAACCCTCTTTACTCGGTTAACGTTCATTGAGGATTGGTATCACTTAAACAATTGTTTCTAGACCATGCATGCAAGAGGCTTTTCTTCTTATTCATCTTTTGTTGTATCGAAGATAAGTGCCTTCACTTGAACAATTCTGTTATCATCATTTTTGAATAGTATGGCAAAGAAAAACCCTCTTTACTTGGTTAACGTTCGGTGAGGATTGATATCACTCAAGCAATTGTTTCTAGACCATACGTGCAAGAGGCTTTTCTCCTTATTCATCTTTTGTTGTATCGAAGATAAGTGTCTTCACTTCAACAATGATGTGCTTGGGATGTTTAAGGTTATCGTTCGTTGTCTTTCATATGGAAATAGATCATATCAACAACAGTTTGCACGCTAATGAAATCGAATATCTAATGATAACCGTAACTTTGTAAAGCAACGGTCATTGAAACTCAAGCGGGATTTAAGTCCATGGGCGGCAGAGAGCTTGTCTGATCGTCTGCTTCAGTGTTTGTCTTACTTCAACGGGTTTGACGTTGAGTTAAAGTAAACTATGGAAACTGCTATTTCCCAGAAGATAGCTACATGTGATGAATACGTTTTGTTAGAGCTGGTAACGATTTCCATAACACCATATGGCACAGAACAAACAATAAAACATAACTACACTCGCGTTCGGTGCGATTAGTTGGCTTCGCTGACGTTAAACATGATTTCGTACTCAAACGTCATGACGACCGAGAGTGTGAAAGATCTTTGCGCACGAGGCGAGTTAAAACCAGACAAGATGGTATAATTAGAATGTCATAAAAAAGGTTATACGGCGATCAAAAATGATACATAGAGCAGCAACAGCAGCTGCAATCCAAAAGGCAGTTCAAACAATATATATATGATGACTAAGGGCGCCAAAAATCTTTGTGTACGAAGTGATTGATATCAATAAGTAAGATGGCCTGGTTACGTGAGTATACCAAATGTAATTTAAAATGAAGCTTAAAACAGCGGCATCAGATAAAACCTAAATATATGTGCGCTTCAAAGCCACAATTTTTCTGTATTTCAGCCCCAACAACAGGGCGAGAAGTCTGTCCAAGCTTATGGCCGCCATCGTCATCACAGAGCTACACATAATGCATAATCTGTTATGTAGGCTGCGTCCCTTGGGTATCGTTTGTGAACCACGAGCATCCAATAAATAGCATTGAAGGGCTGGCTAACAAGACCAACAACAGATCAGTTGTTGCCAGACAACGATACAAGTGTTTGGACGGTGGATGAAGGGAAGATTCCCTGTGAAGGGCAACGAGGATAAGAAAATTGCCATGAAATGCTGTGATGAGAAGGAGAATGTTGACTGTTGATAAATAAATTGTCTTATATTGTAGTCCTCCAGCCAAAGAAGGGGAGCATGTCTTCTTTTTTTGAAATGTTTCCGTTTGTTTTTCCTCATCTGTTAGATTTGTTATTGCCATCATATTTGAGGTATCTAGGGTGGCTTCCTCACGGTAACTGCTAACCCAATACTCGTTAAAACTCACTTCACTAATAATTTTTTCCAGTTAGGCCTTAGTTCAGTACCAATTACTTATTTAAAATCCGCGAGCGATCCATCTCAGTGTGTATGACAAACTCATATCTTTTGCCCGTGAAAGTGCCTTGCATTTATTGAAACCATTGAAGGGAATGTATTTCTCCTTGATAAACAACTCTCTGGAATTTCAAAACGCTAAAAATAATTCAAATACTCCTTCCCGGGTATAGGCTTTTTTCTGAATATTATCTCTAGTTACAGAGGTTAGCGAATAGCGAATAGAGCTATGCGTGTCTGAATCAGGTGGCTACCTATAATTAGGCTAATGTTGATATAGGTAAAAATATGCCATATAAAATCAAAATTTCACAAAAATAGATGGATAGTAGGACCTCAGCCTTACTTAAAGCCCCAGAAGAGAATGATAAACCTAACAAGGCTGATTCTTTTACGTTTCGCATCGCAGTAAAATTGGAAATGAAACGATCATTCGACAGGTGTAAAGTTTTTTAAAAAGACTGTTAAGCCTATTTGCTCATGGATAACTATTGAGCCCCTTTGAAATAATCCTATTGCACTAGTAAGTTCAATCAAAAGAATCTACGGCCTCATTACTGAGGCGATTGGCTAAGCTACATTGAGTGGCAAAAGCAGTTGGAACGCCTCCCTTAAGTGGGTAGTCAACAACCCTCTATGCATTAAACATAATTAACAGAAATCTTGTAATCCATGTCTGATAAGTGACTTAAAAGTCCCTTTTTTCCCCTGAAAAAGTGTTGCAAAATATTAAGTAACTTATCTTGTTAACACCAGGCAATATTAAGATGGGGGAGAACGGGAGATAAATATAATTTTTTTGCCAAAATTCGAAAGTAGAGCCCGCTGAGGCTTTACCGCTCATTCCTGATTTTAAGTTTTCTTGTATATTGGACCAAGCTTTCATGTGTGCGACAGATGATTCATTCTCCCCGACTGATTTCAATTCTTTTTCTCTAGTGCCGTAGACTGACAACCTCTTGACCTACTATCGACGTAGTGTTTGTTAACTTGTTTTAATTGTCTATTTTTTGGTTTTGTTTTGTTTTTTCACAACAAGTCCTAACATGAACCGAGACCTTTAACGTTGATTACACCAGAAGCTTTTTTTTAATGGTAATGTATTGAGAGGGTGTCTGTGCAAGTCACGTATTCCAATTTTACAACTCAGGACCTTTCACTTGACTTCCTACTGCATACATAAACACCACTAAGATTACGATGAAGCTCTTCATTTCAGTTTTTGAAGTCAGTAGGACTGACAGTACGACGTAGCAAATTTGCAAAATGCTACTGATAAATCTTCTATTCGAAATGAAACCCAAAGAAGTCTTTCCCATAATAGTCCCTGTTGATTTTAGTTTATTTTCATTCATTGTACGCTAAACTCTTCAATAAAAGTATCCGTGGTAAAATGATAAATAAAAGAACTCTGTATAAACTAAATATCTCCTAATTAACCTCACATTTCATAAATAATTCTGTGGGAGAAGTCTTGTGGTTATATAAAACAAAGCAAAAACTAGTAATTTCTATAAGCTAACTCTCTCAAAGCTGACCTTCATTTTTCGTAAGCATACAATGTTAATCACACTCAAGTTTACTGTCAAGAGTGTCGGATACAAAATGAAGCTTTTCAAACAGTTTTAAGAAAGCTCGGTGGTGTTTTCTTTTTTTGTGTGTACTAAACGTTTATTTACGACCAATCGATTTGCTTAAACGCATGTTATACTACGCTTGGCTTTTAGAACTGACTGGCCCCTTTACGTCCACTCATTTTGTTTTCATTAGCCTTTCTTTTGTTTTCTTACGAATATACCACAGAAAACAAATAAGAAAAGAAGCAGATAAGGCTTAAAGCCTTCAACCAATCTCATGGCGTCAACGTTGTTGTATAAAAATTACCAGTTAAATGACTAAAGAAATCGGCGCATAAAAAGGGGACTGGGGCACACAAAGCTCCATTCATCCGATTCCAGGCCTCATCTGTTTCACCATCTTCCTCATCATATCCCTGTACAAGAAAATAAAACAGAAGGTGTGAAACATGACTGCTGAAACAAAGAAGGATGAGTACAAGGAAGTCGATCTTTTCGAAAGTCCAGTAATGAGAGAACGAGTTCAAAAATTAGGCCGATAGCAGGAAAGATAGGAAATAAGATAAAGCAATTAATTGTTACCGAATCGCAGTAAGTTTCTCTTCCACCGACTCCCAAGGGCTGCGATCTTCACTGAATTCAAGAAGATCTACAAACAAACCAAGATCAAATTTAAGAACATAAAGAACCTTACAGCTGTTAAGGCATGAGAAAGATTATTCCTTTTCTATTATAACTGAGTATCAACTGAGCCGAAGGTCTTCTTCATCTCCCTTCGTTCAGAGAAGTACAAATAGGATACAAGACTAAAAAAAAAACTGTTTTTCCCGATTGCTACGCATAAAAATTATCGTGAAAGTAGTCCTGGTTAAATACTTCACGCAGACCTTGGGCGAGTTTCATTTCACTGATCCAGTCTCCCTCTTTGTAATACTTCACGCGCAGATTCTGCATAAAGAAAAGATGTAAAAGTAATTAAGTCTATGAGGCCACCCCTCAATTGCAGAAGAATACAACTATACCTAAGCCCCCTCCTACCCTAACGGTACGTTCTTCTCCTCACGCTCACAGTCACGTATGGCGCTAATGCACGCTGCCACTTAGCGTCAATCACGAACACCGGTGCACGCTTAATGATAAAATGCTACAATTCCATTAGCGAAGAATGTTCATTTACCAGAAAAGGAAATCTCTCCATGCGTGTGAGTTGTAGAATACGATCCACATCATATTCCAGACGGGCGACTTTCTTGGCCTGTGTGTAGGTCGTACTCATTTGTGCAATGAGAATGTTGAGTAGAATCACTATCACGATCCCCATGTAGGCCATCATTAACAGAATGGAGAGCCAGCTGCAAGGAATAAATCAAATGCTCTTACGTGGTTAGTTTCACCTATTATCTTAGTGGTAATAAACTCATCTTAAGGTAAAGAGATCTGAACAAGTAAACGGAGTAAAAACATATTCGACCTTTTAGAGAGAAATCAACTCACTTGAAATTTGAATAATCGTAAGCAATTGGTCTTTGTTCAGAGAGCGCGCGAAAGCCACTCAATAACACATCTCCGAAGTCACTAATGTAAAAAAAAAAATGGATT